CCGCGCCCAGCCTTTTTTTTTTTTTTTGAGCAAGGGTCACACTCTGTCACCCAGGCTAAAGTGCAGAGGTGTGATTATGGCTCACTGCAGCCTCAATCTCCCAGGCTCAAGCGATCCTCCCACCTCAGCCTCCCAAGTAGCTGGGGCTATAGGTGCTTGCCACCACGCCTGGCTAATTTTTACATTGTTTTTTGGTTAAGATGGGGTTTTGCCATGTTGCCCAAGTGGTCTCGAACTCCTGGGCTCAAGCAATCTGCCCGCCTAAGCCTCCCAAAGTGCTGAGATTACAAGCATTAGCCACCATGCCCAGCTATGATTCTTGATTGAACTTTGGATTTTAAAAAAACAGCTCTAAAAGAAATTATTGAAAAAATTAGAGAAGTTTGAATGGAATTTATATATTATATCACAGCATATTGTATAAATGTTAAATTTCCTGGGTGTGGTAATTGCATTGCGGTTATGTAGGAGACTGACATTTTTCTTTGGAGATGCATACTGAATTATTTAGGGGTGAAGTGTTGTGATGTCTGCAACTAACTCTCAAATGCTTCAGAAAAGATATGTTTATATGTGCAGAAAGAGAGAAAGATAAAACAAATGTGGCCAAAATGTAAAGTTATTCAGTCTAGGTGATCTCTTTTTTTTTTTTTTTGAGACGGAGTCTCACTCTGTCGCCCAGGCTGGAGTGCAGTTGCTGGATCTCGGCTCACTACAAGCTCCGCCTCCCGGGTTCACGCCATTCTCCTGCCTCAGCCTCCCAAGTAGGTTTCACCGTGGTCTCTATCTCCTGACCTCGTGATCCGCCCACCTCGGCCTCCCAAAGTGCTGGGATTACAGACATGAGCCACTGTCCCCGGCCCAGTATACTCTTCTTGAAACTTGTAAGTGAATTTCTCAAAATAACAAGTTGCGGGAGGGGAGGGAAAACTAAAGACACTGAAATAACACAGATTTAAATCATTTAAACATAAAATACTGAAGAAGGTCCTTTAGAGGCACACCCAAACACCACACTTCCTCCTTTACCTGCTGTACTCAAACATCGATGAAGAGGAGCTAACACTGGCTGGAGCAAATACTTTGCTGCCAATTGTGGGCGTTCTCTTGACAAAGTTATAAAGGTAGTGGTGGCAACTCTCTGAAACTGTCGTGCTGTCAATTTATCCTGAAAGTGAAATAAATCCAGAACCTACAAAAATATTACAAGAAGTAAATGCCAGTTTTTTGCAAGGAATATGACATTAACTAAAAAGAAAAAGCATGAATTTTTTAAGCCAAAAAAAATAAACTCACTTCAATAACACTGATTCAACAGAATTCTTTTCTTAATTTAACATACCCAGGATCAAAGGGTAAGAGAGCTGAACAGGCAGTGTTTTTATTTTTAATTAAAAATTTGTTTTGCCCATCCCTCATACTTGCAGTGTTTTTATTATTTTATCAAATTTATAAAATACAGGCTCATTTTAGGCACATGCATAGGGAGTATTAATTAAGAAAACTCCTTCCACATTTTTCATGTATCAGATTAGGAAAGATCAAAAACTTTGTAACACATTGTGTGGGTAAAAATGTTGGAAAATAGGTACATAAAGCATATCAATCAAAAATTTAAATGCATAAAACCTTTGAACCAATAATTTCAATTCTAGGAATTTTTCCTATGGTAATACTGGTAGTTATGTACAAAGACTTAGGGATATTAACTGTAGTGTAATTTGTAATACAAAAAGAATGGAAAGAACTCAAATGTCCATCAATAGCAATGTACTATAATAAATTATAGTACATTAATATGATGAAATATCATGTGCCCATGAAAATGAATGAAATGATCTCCAAGGTACACTATTTTTTTTCTTTTTTTTTAGATGGAATCTCGCTCTGTCATCCAGGCTGGAGTGCACTGGTGTGAACTCGGCTCACTGCAACATCTGCCTCCCGGGTTCAAGTGATTCTCTATCCTCAGCTTCCTGAGTAGCTAGGACTACAGGCGTGCACCACCACACCTGGCCGATTTTTGTATTTTTAGTAGAGACAGGGTTTCTCCATGTTGGCCAGGCTGGTCTCGAACTCCTGTCCTCAAGTGATCTGCCCGCCTCAGCCTCCCAAACTGCTGGGATTACAGGAGTGAGCCATTGTACCTGGCCAAAGTACACTATCAATGAAAAAAAGCAAAATGAAAGAGAGCATGCTGCATGCTATCATTTAGATAGAAATTAGCACTGGCCTTGTGTGGTGGCTCACGCCTGTAATCCCAGCACTTTGGGTGGATCACCTGAGGTCGGGAGTTCGAGACCAGCCTGACCAACATGGAGAAACTCCATCTCTACTAAAAATACAAAATTAGCCAGGCCTCGTGGCACATGCCTGTAATCCCAGCTACTCAGGAGGCTGAGGCAGGAGAATTGCTTGAACCCGGGAGGTGGAGGTAGTGGTGAGCCGAAAGCTCGCCATTGCACTCCAGCCTGGGCAACAAGAGCAAAACTCTCTCTCAAAAAAAAGAATTAGCATTAATTTTACCATCATATGTGTATATGTTAATGTACGTGTGTATGCACATACACATTAATACACATATACATTAACATATACACATATGATGGTATATGCATAATACACAGAATATCTCTGGAAAGAAATTCATAGCAGTGACTACCTCCGAGGGACTGGAGAACAGGAATGGGAGACTTAGATTTTGGTTTACTCTTGTATGCTTTTTAAATTGTTTGCCATGTTAATTTACCTTGTTTATTTAACATCTACCTTTAAATATCTACCAATATTATACTTGAGTTCCATTCCTGTGCAGTAAGAAAAAACTCAGAGGAAAAAAACTAATTAAAAACACATGGAGAGAAAAGATAATGAACAAGATGAAACTTGAGTTTCGTATTCTAGCTCTGAGAGCGAGCTGGGCCAATCATTCAATAGTGGTAAGGCATTCTTTTTTTTTTTTTTTGAGACGGAGTTCCGCTCTTGTCGCCCAGGCTGGAGTGTAATGGCTCAATCTCGGCTCACGGCAACCTCCACCTCCGGGGTTCAAGCAATTCTCCTGCCTCAGCCTCTTAAGTAGCTGGGATTACAAGCATGTGCCACCACACTCAGCTAATTTTGCATTTTTTTTACTGGAGACAGGGTTTCTCCATGTTGGTCAGGCTAGTCTCGAACTCCCGATCTCAGGTGATCCGCCCACCTCGGCCTCCCAAAGTGCTGGGATTACAGGTGTGAGCTACTGCACCTGGCCTCGCCGTTCTTAAACTGAACAATTAGGTCAGTCTCTTCCACAGGTTTTTATTCATTTATTAAGAAGACTCCTCACTAAACAATAAACTTAAATATTATACTGCTTTTATCTCAATCCTAGAGGAACATTAAAAGTCCTCTTTCTGTACATAAGCTGATAATCCTCAAATGGTCAACAGAAACAAAATGATGTACCTGGGGGCAGATGTCCCGATAGTAACTCTCTGGTGAAAGAGACTGCTGGGGACAAGAGGCCAAAATCGTTGCGATCAGGTCACACTTCTTCCAGTCAGCAGCCGTCGCCTCAGCATCACTTCCACCAGCTGCCCCCGCTGGCACAATGGAGAGAGAGGTCAGCAGCTCACAGCAAATCCCCACAGAAGGTCCCACATAACACATTTGTCTTAAAATTCAGGGTAAAATGCATTTATCTTCTCTATTGAAAATAGCTTATTTTTTTTCTATAAGATAATCTACCCTTCTATACTTTCCTTTTTATGTTATTTCATATTTGTTTATTATTATTATATTTTTGAGACAGAGTCTTGTTCTGTCGCCCAGGCTGGAATGCAGTGGCATGATCTCAGCTCACTGCAACCTCTGCCTCCCAGGTTCAAGAGATTCTCTTGCCTCAGCCTCCCGAGTAGCTGGGATTACAGGCATACACCACGATGCCCAGGTAATTTCTTTCTATTTTTAGTACAGACGGGGTTTTGCCATGTTGACCAGGCTGGTCTCCAATTCTGACCTCAAGGTGATCTGCCCACCTCGGCCTCCAAAGTGGTGTGATGACAGGCATGAGCCACCGTGCCCAGCCTATACTTTCCTTTTGATGCTAGCTTCTGGGAAATTCAGAGAAAAACTAGCACTTAGTCACTATAATGATATTATTCATGTAACTAGAATACTAGCTTCACCATGTTTATTACTATTATTATTATTCTGTCTCCTTGTATGTATCATTTCATCTAAACTGTCTTAAGCCACAGCCGTAGAGTGACAGGGACCAGAATTACTTTACCATCTTAAGCAATTATAAAATTGGACAAAATATATAAACAATGGTTTCCAGACAATGCACAACAAGCAGCCCAGGGCACTGATCCCTGAGAGAAGGGAAGCAAACAAACTGAGCTTGACAACTGCCCTTGTTCACCGCCTGGAGAGTTTTCAGGCGATAGCAAGAGCAGCCCAAATGAAGCCTGGCATCTTGGTGAGTGGAAGAAACATAGTTCAGAGTTCAGGGAGGCCAACGCAGCTGGAATTTTCAGGGCAAAAAATACCAGAGAGGAGGAAGTTACACATAGAGAGAGTTCCAAAGATCTGCAAAAGGGTCCTTTCTCAGGTCTTTGGTAGAGTATGATACCTGTATGTGTGAGGAAAATACCAAAGCCTGGGGCAATAACCAACAGAAAGGAGTAGGTGGGAACAACCCCATGGTTCATAATGGCTGGGAATAGTTGTGTTCCCACTAGCCAGCCTGGGAGGATCTCCTAATACACAGGGCAACAACTAGAATTCTCAGAAGTGTATTGTCTTAGTACAATCTGTATTGTTACACTTAGTACAATACACTTAGTATAATACAATAAGGGGTTAAATTACCTTAAAGGTTGCTGTAGAACCACACTAACACAGCTGAAAAGCCAGGATCAAATGAACTAAACTAATTACAAGTAACTTAACTGCATTCCAGAACAAAGTCCAACCAAGGAATATAAAAATCTGGCACTCAGCAATGTAAAATAAAAATGTTCAGCATCCAGTCAAAATTTACCAGGCATATCCACATGAGGAAATATTATTCAGTCATAAAAAGGAATAATGTTTATGGAGGACTGATTCATTCATGTTATAACACGACTAAACCTTGGCTGGGTGCAGTGGCTCACACTAGCACTTTGGGAAGCCGAGGCAGGTGGATCACCTGAGGTCAGGAGTTTGAGACCAGCCCGGCCAACATGGTGAAACTCCGCCTCTACTAAAAATACAAAAATTAGCCAGATGTGATGACACGTGCCTGTAATCCCAGCTACTTGGGAGGCTGAGGCAGGAGAATCGCTTGAACCTGGGAGAAGGAGGCTGTGGTAAGCTGAGATCACACCATTGCACTCCAGCCTGGGTAACAACAGCAAAACTCCATCTCAAAAACAAACGAACAAACAAACAACATGAATAAACCTCAAAAACATTATGTGAAGTAAAGGAAGCCAGACACAAAAACCATATATTGTATGAAATGCCAATACGGGTAAATCCAAAGGCACCAGGAAGTGAACTAGTACTTACCAGAGTCTGAGAGGAGGGGAGAATGAGGAGTGGTGATTGCTAGTGAGTATGAGGGCTTCTTTGGGGGGATATGGGGAGAGGGTTGATAAAAATGTTCTGGAAATAGATATTGGTGATGATTGCGCAACTCTGTGAATATACTAAACACCACCAAACTGTACTCTTTAAAAAAAAAAGTGACTTCTGGCCGGGTGTGGTGGTTCACTCCTGTAATCCCAGCACTTTGGGAGGCCGAGGCAGGTGGATCACCTGAGGTCAGGGGTCCAAGACCAGCCTGGCCAACATAGTGAAACCCCATCTCTACTAAAAATTTTTTTAAAAATTAGCTGGGTGTGGTAGCATGCACCTGTAGTCCCAGGTACTCGGGAAGCTGAGGCAAGAGAATCTCTTGAACACGGGAGACGGAAGTTGTAGTGAGCCGAGATCGCGCCACTGCACTCCAGCCTGGGAGATTGCAGTGAGCTGAGATTGCATCACCGCACTCCAGCCTGGGCGACAGAGTGAGACTCTGTCTCAAAAAAATAAATAAATAAAAAATAAAAAGTGACTTCTCTGGTATGTGAATAACATCTAAAAAAAAAAAAAAAAATTACCAGGCATGCAATGAAGGAAAACAATATGGCTTATAATTAGAAGAAAAAAATCAACAGAACAGGCTGTGGGCGGTGGCTCATGTCTGTAATCCCAGAACTTTGGGAGTCCAAGGCAGGCGGATCACCTGAGGTCAGGAGTTCAAGACCAGCCTGGCCAACATGGTGAAACCCTGTCACTACTAAAAATACAAAAATTAGCCGGGCATGAGGATGCACACCTGTAGTCCCAGCTACTTGGGAGGCTGAGGCAGGAGAATCGCTTGAACCTGGGAGGTGGAGGTTGCAGTGAGCAAAGATTGTGCCACTGCACTCCAGCCTGGGTGACACAGCAAGACTCCGTCTCAAAAAAAAAAAAAAGAAAAAAACCAATAGAACAGACCCCCAAAAACAGAGATAACACAGAGATAACAGAATTAGAAGACAAGACCATTAAGACAACTTTATTTACTTTTTTTTTTTTTGAGACAGTCTTACTCTGTCATCCAGGATAGAATGCAGTGGTGTGATCTTAGCTCACTGCAACCTCCCCCTCCCGGGTTCAAGCAATTCTTCTGCCTCAGCCTCCCGAGTAGCTGGGACTACAGGCATGCACCACCACACCCAGCTAATTTTCTGTATTTTTAGTAGAGGCGGGGCTTCACCATGTTGGCCAGGTTGGTCTCAAACTCCTGACCTCGTGATCGGCCCACGTTGGCCTGCTAAAGTGCTGGAATTTCAGGCATGAGCCACTGCACCCGGCCCATTAAGACAACCATTAAAATTTGTCCTTGGCCAGGCACAGTGGTTCATGCCTGTAGTCTCAGCACTTTGGGAGGCCAAGGTAGGTGGCTCACTTGAGACCAAGAGTCCAAGACCTGCCTGGGCAATATGGCGAAACCCTGTCCCTACTAAAAATACAAAAATTACCTGGGTGTGGTGGTGCATGCCTGTAATCCCAGTTGCTCAGAAGGCTGAGGCACAAGAATTGTTTGAACCTGGGAGGCGGAAGTTGCAGTGAGCCAAGATCATGCCACTGCACTCCAGCCTGGGAGACAGAGCAAGACCCTGTCTCTGGGGAAAAAAAATTTTAAAAGAGAAAAATAAAAAAGACATAGAGAAAAAAAGACACACACACAAAAAGAGCATTAGTTATTTGCAGGACAACATTAAACATAATATTTGGTGTAATTCAAATCTCAGAAAGAGAGATCTGAGGGGAGTACAGAGAAAAATATTTGAAGATAATGTCTGAGAAATTTCCAAATATGGCAAAACTATAAACCCACAGCTCCAAAAAGCAGAAAAAAACAAAAAGAAACCAACACCACACCAAGGTATATCATAATCAAATTTCTAAAAACCAGCCATAAGAGAAAAATCTTAAAAGAGGGAAAAACAGTATATCATTTACAGAGGAACAAAGATAAGAATGATAGCAGACTTCTCGTCAGAAATGACCCAAGCCAGAAGACAACGGAATATCTTAAAAGTACTAAAAGAAAAAATAAATGTCAACCTGGATTTCTATACCCAACAAAAAATATATTTCAAAAAGGAAAATGAACTAGACTTTTTGAGACAAACAAAAGCTAGAAAATTAATTGCCAGGCCAGGTGCAGTGGCTCACACCTGTAATCCCAGCACTTTGGGAGGCCAAGGCAGGTGGATCACCTGAGGTCAGGAGTTCAAGACCAGGCTGGCCTACATGGCAAAACCCTGTCTCTACTAAAAACACAAAAATTAACCAGGTGTGGTGCTGTGTGCCTGTAGGCCAAGACAGGTGGATCACCTGAGGTCAGGAGTTCAAGACCAGGCTGGCCAACATGGTGAAACCTCATCTCTACTAAAAATACAAAAAGTTAGCCAGGCCAAAAAAAATTAGCCGGGCATGGTGGCAGCCACCTGTAATCCCAGCTACTTGGGAGGTTGCAGCAGGAGAATCGCTTGAACCCAGGAGGCAGAGGTTGCAGTGAACCGAGATCGTGGGCAACAAGAGCGAAACTCTGTCTCAAAACAAAACAAAACAAAACAAAACAAAATTCATTGCCAGTAGACCTACACTATAAGAAATGGTAACTAAAGTTCAGGCAGAAGGAAATTTGCACTGAAATTTTGATCTACGTAAAGAAATAAAGACCACCAGAAATGGCAAATATAAACCTGCCTCAAACCATTTTGGGAAAGAAACAAGGTATGAATAGATAACAAGAAATATATACATGCACAAGTTGGGGGAACTCATAGGAAAAAGAGGGTTCTGATTTTCTTATAGCACCTCTCCAATCTGCATGCCCTTAAGTGAGATCTAACCCTTCTTGGAAAAGGAAGGTGCAAAGAACTGTTTCTAGGGGACAACTTCTTATGGGTAACTGACCATTTCTCATTTCATTGGCCCTAGAAGCCACTGTGGGGAGAACTGAGGGAAGGTAATATTATAGCCACTCTGGACCAAATCTACCAATGTCTGCCAACCACACTGACCTCACTTTTGTCTGATAGGACCAAGGTACATTAACTATGCCAAAAATGAAGTCAAGATTTATTCTTCTAGCTCTCTTCCTTCTTCCCCACATATCCAGCCCTTCATTAAGTTTTGGCAACTCCCCTCCTTAAATATCTCTCAAACCCATTCGTTTCTCTCCATTTCCACGGCTACTGCATTAATCCAAGCCTCCGTGATTCCTCAGATGTCTGCCTTTTAACTGATCTCCCTGCTTCTGCTTTTACCCAATCCATTCTTCACAATACCTCCAGATAGATATTTCTAAACTGCAGATTTGATCATGTTCTCTCTTTCTTAAAACCTGTTAATGGTTTCACATTTCCCTCAGAATAAAGTTCAACATCCTGAACTCAGCCTATCAGGCCTCCCTAAGGTGGCCCCCAGCCACCATCCCTGCTCAATGCACACCACTCTAGCTGTACTCTGCCCTCATTACTCTACCCACATGGAGATATCCTCAGAAGCACTATGCTCATTCCTACTTCAGTTCCTCATATATGCTACTCTCTCTGCTTATAACTATCTTCCCTCACTCTTCAGCTAGTTAATTCCAACTCAGCCTTCAGGGCTCAGTTTAAATGCCATTTCTGTAAAAAAGCCACTAAGTTTGTGGTAAGTTGTTGCAGTAACAATAGGAAACAGGCATGGGATAAGGGAGATAAGGGATTGAACACACAAAAAAGGCAAAGTGTTCACCAGGATAAAGGTGAAGGGGATCCTTGTATGGCAGCTGAGTAGAAGGTAACCAGGATAGAGTAAAGCAGGTCAGAAAATCCAGAGAAAGATGTTTCCAAGAAGATAAAACTGATAGAATATCTGGTGAGTTTTTGTTTGCTTGTTTGAGAGAGAACATCGCTCTGCCATCCAGGCTGGAGTGCAGTGGTGTGATCATGGCTCACTAAAGCCACAACTTCCAGAGCTCCAGCAATCCTCCTGCCTCAGCCTCCCGAGTAGCTGGGACCACAGGTTCGTGCCACCACACCCAGCTAATTTTTGTATTTTTGGTAGAGATGGGGTTTCACCATGTAGCCCAGGCTGGTCTCCTGAGCTCAAATGATCCACCTGCCTTGGCCTCCCAAAGTGTTGGGATTATAGGCATGAGTCACCGTGCCCAGCCTTTTTGATGTTTTTGAATGTATTAAAAGGAGATTTAAACAAAAGAGGGAGAGCTTGAGAAAAGATTAGTGATAAGCACATAGAAAACTAATCAGATGTACAAAAAAAAAAAAGATTAACTTCAGGAAGTACAAAAGAATATGTAAAAAAAAGAAAGTAAACATAACATACAACATAGCTCAGCTGTAAATAATAATTACAGAGTTACAGTAATATAAATACTGAATATTGATCTAACCAAAACTGAGATATAAATATACTAAGGAGATGGGAAAATACAAATGTACTTAGGGGAATGATGCCATTGTTACGAAAGAGAACAAGATCCTCTTCCACTCATGGTGAGAGGTAGATACATGATGCCTGAAACTGAAAAAATTATGAATTCCCATATATTAGAAATATAGAGGTAAATGGCCAGGCGCAGTGGCTCACGCCTGTAATCCCAGCACTTTGGGAGGCCGAGGCGGGCGGATCACGAGGTCAGGAGATCGAGACCATCCTGACTAACACGGTGAAACCCCGTCTCTACTAAAAATACAAAAAATTAGCCGAGCGTGGTGGCAGGCGCCTGTAGTCCCAGTTACTCAGGAGACTGAGGCAGGAGAATGGCGTGAAGCCGCGAGGCGGAGGTTGCAGTGAGCCAAGATCGCGCCACTGCACTCCAGCCTGGTGATAGAGCAAGACTCTGTCTCGGAAAACAAAAAAAAATACAGGTAAATACCAGAAAAAACTCACTGGAAGAGTTCAAAGTGGTTGCTTCCAGAGATGGGAAATGGATTGGAATGGTACCAAGGACTGCTATTTTTCACTATTAGTCTCACAGAACTATTTGACTTTAAATGATGTACATGTCTAATTTTCTCTAAAAAATGAAACAAAAAATATTTAAATTAAAAACTACTACCATGCTTAGCATTGACTTTTTTCCTATTAATGAGAACTTAGATAGTATAATTGGGGAAATGACTCTAAAACTTCATCACAAAGTTTGCGTCTCAATGGTATTTCTCAAAGGTATTTCTGGCTTCAAGAAAATTATTTTACATTTCACTTTTTTTTTTTTTGAGACAGGGTCTTGCTTTTTTTGCCCAGGTTGGAATGCAGTGCCATGACATTGGCTCACTATAGCCTCGAACTCCTGGGCTCAAGTGATCATCCTGCCTTGGCCTCCCAAGTAGCTGGGACCACAGGTGGGCACCACCATACCTGGCTTTTTTTTTTATTTTTTGTAGAAACAGAGTCTTGCTATGTTGCCCAGGCTGCTCTTGAACTCCTGGCCTCAGACAGTCCTTCTGCCTCAGGCTCCCAAAGTGCTAGGATTACAGGTGTGAGCCACCACACCCAGTTTTATTATTATTATTATTATTATTGAGACGAAGTCTCACTCTGTCACCTAGGCTGGAGTGCAGTGGCACAATCTTGGCTCACTGCAACCTCCACCTCCCAAGTTCAAGCGATTCTCCTGCCTCAGCCTCCCAAGTAGCTGGGGTTAGGCGCCCGCCATCAAGCCAGGCTAATTTTTGTCTTTTAGTAGAGACAGGGATTCACCATGTTGGCCAGGCTGGTCTTGAACTCCTGACGTCAAGTGATCCGCCTGCCTTGGCCTCCCAAAGTGCTGGGATTACAGGCGTGAGCCACCATGCCCAGCCCACACCTAGCTATATTTAACATTTACTTTAGGGTTTTTACTTCAACTTTCTGTGTAATGTTTTCCCCGGATATTATAAATTATTTGAAATGGCTTACAATATTGTTCATTCAAATAGGCAGTGTATCACAAGTGTTTTAGGAAAAGAGCAAGAGAATTGGTTTCTTTGGAAAAGAAGTTCATTAAGGACCTCTAAGTTTAACCTGTTCAATCCCTGCAAGGACATAGTTGAGTTTCAGTCAGGTTTTAAAGGTAAATACTAAAGACCAATAATTCACCTCAGACTCTGACTCAAAGGAAAACAGATACCAAAGTCACAGAAACATTTATTTCTTACCACCTGCTCCTTCCAAAATGCCCCGGACTACTGCCTGAACACCATTAGGCCTCATTAACCTTTCAGAGAGCAGCTGTCCACATAGACGCCGAAGCCAAGCTGGGGCCCGACACCTCAGCTGTGTCTTCACACCTGTGCAGGACTGAGAAAAAGAAGAAGGTGTGAATTCTGAATGTCACTGAAATAGATATGATGGCTGGGAACAGTAGCTCATGCCTGTTTAAAAAAAAAAAAAAAAAAAAGGAGAAGAAGAAGAAATAGCTATGATATGTAGACTTATTTATTTATTTAGAGACGGAGTTTCACTCTTGTCACCCAGGCTGGAGTACAGTGGCACAATCTTGGCTCACTGCAACCTCCACCTCCTGAGTTCAAGCAATTCTCCTGCTTCAGCCCCCTGAGTCATTGAGATTACAGGCACGCGTCACCATGCCTGGGTACTTTTTGTATTTTTAGTACAGACGGGGTTTCACCATGTTAGTCAGGCTGGTCTCGAACTCCTGACCTCAGGTGATCCACCCACCTCAGCCTCCCAAAGTTCTGGGATTACAGGCGTGAGCCACCATGCCCAGCTAGACATTATTTTTTAAAAGTCCTGAGTCATACTGACAATTAACAGCGTGCTATACAGACTTCAAAAGAGCAACATTTTTTCCTTAAAAAACAAAAAACAAACAAAAAAAACTTTACAAAACCTTCTTCTGCATTACTTTTAAGAAAGTAAAAAACAGTGGAAAAGCAATGAAATTTCAAACTCATAAACAGACAAATGCATTAGCAATTAAAATGCAGATCTTGGGAACACAAGGTTAATGCAACCCATCTCTGAATGTAGCCCTGACAATCAAATCCAGCTTCCAAGGAAGATTCTTATGAACGTTATTTGCCACTAAGAGGGTGGTTCACAACAGGGAGGGAGCACTCAAGCCCTTGCCTCTGTGGCATTAGCAACTCTGATTCCTGTGACACAGTTCCAAGAAATAGTTGGATTTCTTTTTTTTTTTTTTTTTTTGAGACGAAGTCTCACTCTGTCGCCCAGGCTGGAGTGCAGTGGCACGATCTCAGCTCACTGCAACCTCCGCCTCCAGGGTTCACGCCATTCTCCTGCCTCAGCCTCCGGAGTAGCTGGGACTACAGGTGCCCGCCACCACACCCAGCTAATTTTTTTTTGGTATTTTTAGTAGAGACGGGGTTTCACTGTGTTAGCCAGGATGGTCTCAATCTCCTGACCTCATGATCCACCCGCCTCAGCCTCCCAAAATGCTGGGATTACAGGCGTAAGCCACCGCCCCTGGCCAGATTTCTTTTGTATTTCTTTCCTGCTCCAGTGTGATCTGCAAGAAAGAGCTGGATTTCTTCAAGGGCTCCTTTCTGGGAGTTCTGTGGAGCCACTGTGAACAGACTTGGTGTCCCTTATTGTTGAGGATGGACTAAATTCACTTATTAGCTGGTTTTGGCATACACCTCTCAGCTCGTTCCTCTTCTATCTTTTGAGAGTGACTGCATATTTTGTTCTGCTTTTTCTTGTTGGGTACTTTTCAGAGGCCTATCCCCTGCAGAAGACGCGCAGTTTTAATGTTCTAGCCCTTATTTTGGGGCCCACCTCGGCCTCCCAAAGTGCTGGGATTACAGGTATGAGCCACTGCACCTGGCCCCAGATAAACATTATTTTTAAGAAAACAAAGAAACTATCTTATCCCTAGCAGAATATATACTACTATATGTTTGAAACAAAGGAACTAAGAATAGAACAAATAATATCTCTAGTTTTCATTTCTTGACTTCAAATACATTATCCATTCAAAGAATTAGTGTCCAGATACTTGTGCTGAAAGAACATTTTGTCAAACAGCCAATTTTTAGTTAAAAAAAGAGAAGATCTAGTTTCAGAATGAATAAAATATATCTCACATAAAATTGCCATAAGTCTTTAAAAAAGCGATCATAATATTCTTGGGAAAAGTGTCCATCATTTCATTAGAGAAAAGGTCTTTTAAATTATCCTAAGGGTCAGTGTCATCTAGTTTTATAAATATCATTTTATGATCTAAAAGATGAAAAAGGCTCAACTAGATCATTAAATAGGGAACTAAAGTTATTTAATTTTCTAGAGGAAGCCAGCATACCACACATTATATTAATGAGTCACCCCCAAGAGTCCCCAGGCCTGCGTACCTGGGGTGGTCCTCCCTGGAGGATAAGCAGTTCCCGGACTGCTAAGGGCTGATAGACTTGATCCAACATGTCTCTCAAGGCCCCCCTGGATAGGGTTCTTTCCTCTTCAGTTAGAACCTAAAAGAAATATGCACTTGGCTTTAGTGGAATTCAAACCACACAGACAATAGAAGGTAATGTTTTACAACACTGTACAGAGATACTTGTGAGAGGAGCGGAAGGAAGGTTTCTACCCTCTCTTGATTTCCTTCCACATGGGGGAAGCTGTACTACTAAAACATTCCTGGTCCTCTCTCCATCTTGCTCACTCCACTTCTGGGCAGGTTATGAGACTGATCTTACTGCTGAGGGTGGAGTAAACTCACTTATTGGCTGGTTTTGGCATGCATCTCTCAGCTCGTTCCTCTTCTGTCTTTTGAGAGTGACTGCACATTTTCTTCTGCTCTTTCGTGCTGGGTATTTTTCAGAGGCATATCCCCTGCAGAAGGCGCTGCAGTTTTCCAGTGCTCTTTAAAATGGGTGATTAGTGAGAGTGTCTAATTCTGAAGAGCACTGTTTTGTCTCCTGCCAGGCGCGGTGGCTCACGCCCGTAATCCTAACACTTTGGGAGGCTGAGGGGGACAGATCACCTGAGGTCAGGAGTTCAAGACCAGCCTGGCCAACACGGCAAAACCCCATCTCTACGAAAAATACAAAAATTAGCCAGGCCTGGTGGCGGGCGCCTGTAATCCCAGCTACTCAGGAAGCTGAGGCACAAGAATCACTTGAACCAGGGAGGTGGAGGTTACAGTGAGTCAAAATTGCACCACTGCACTCCAGCCTGGGCAACAGAGCAAGCCTCCGTTTCATAAATAAATAAATAAATAAATAAGCAAGTAAGCAAGCTGGGTGTGGTGGCACATGCCTGTAATCCCAGCTACTTGGGAGGCTGAGGCAGGAGAAGCTCTTGAACCCAGGAGGCAGAGGTTGCAGTGAGCCAAGATTGCGCCACTGAACTCCAGCCTGGGTGACAGAGCAAGGCTCCGTCTCAAAAAATAATAATAATAAAAATAAATAAAAAATAAAGATTTGTCTCCATCTATAAGCTACATCCTCCAGCTTTGCCTTTATGAGCAATAGAGGTAACACTGTTCATCTCTCTTACTCTTCTTAATTCTCTTTTAATTCATTTGGGACTTGGGCAGCAAAGAGGGGTACAATTTTGGGGTACCCTTGAGCCATAACAGTACAATTCTCCTTGATGATTACTGCTCAGGGTCAAACAGTCAGGGTTCTGCCCATTACCGTTTCACACACTGAGGTATGGGTGCTACTTAGAACACAGCTATTGGTGGGACTTTGTCCAGCTTCATAATGTACACCCAGCGTGTTTCCCCTCTGTCAACTCCTTCTCCTGCCTTCCTACTTGGTTCTTTCTCTGTGTTTCCCTTTTCATTTCTCTCTCCTGCCTGAGATCCCCGGGCACAGCTCAGCCTCAGTAACAGTAATAAGACCTGTCAACCTGGATCACACTATCTCAGGGAAGTGCAGGCAGGAGGTGCTGCTAGAAGTGTCAATATGCATAACCTCGCCGGAAGGAGGAGGCACTCTGCTCCTATCACATAAAGGCCCCAGGGAGCTCAGAATTTCATGCCAACACTTGAATGATAGTGGCTTTTAGGCAAACGTTTATGAATGCAGGCAGGAGAGAGAAGAGAAAAGGAACAAGGACAAGGGTGACACAGGCAGGTGATAAAGAACATTGTGAAACCTGGCTGTGGAGGCTGCAGAATCACTGTGCCTGGGGGCCACACTGACCCTTGAGACATTTACATCTTAACAGCTTCCGCTGGCCAGTCCCTATGCTGATGCCAGTGGTCCTCTCATGGCCGGGTAGTGGTTCCTGCTATGTCATCCCTGTAAGTCTTATCTCCCCAGTCAGTGTGTGAGTTATTTGCAGAAAAGGACCATGTCTTATGTGTCTATGATCTCCACAGCAACTTCTGTAGTCTGGGTGCTCAACTGCTTACTTGACTGAGTGAGAGCAACCCCTAACACCTAATAATAACAATGAACATTGATAGAGTTCTGGAGTGTACCAGGCGCTCTATACGTGTTATCTCATTTAATCCTCCCAGGCATTTAATGAGGGAGCCATGATACTAGTATCAGTAGGAATTATATGAGCACTACTAGAGATTGGGCCAGATACTTGGCACACATTATCCTTAATCCTCACGACCACCTTCTGAGGCAGGTATTACGATACACATTTTATAGAAGAAGAAACAGAGGCTCAAAGAAACAGCCTGCAATAGCTGTTTCCCAAAATGATAAGGGACAGGTAAAATGGACTCTACAGGTGTGCAAAGGATGAGTACCCAATAAATGAAACCTCCACCCACCCTGAAAAGATTCATTTATCCATTGGATATGCTTTGGCATATCCAGTTCTGAAGAACTAAGAGTTGCCTTTTATAACAACTATCCACAAACATATTCACATATTCACACACACACAATCTCTCCCTCTCTTTCTCCATGTATATTTACCTCTTCTGCAGGTGTTAGCAGTTTTCTTTTGGTTGGGCAGAATCCCAGTTGGCACAGACCTGCTGCAATATCCCCAAAATGGTGGCAGAATATCAAGCTTCCCAGAGATGTGTGCTGAGCAACGTTTAGAAGGGCCCTGCAGCTGGTGTACAGTCTTCGAGTTGCATCAGGGGCAGCATCGAGACACACCACGTCTTGAACGACGGCACCAAACTCAGTTCTATATCTCAAAGGGACTCCAACACCAGGCATGAGATAGGGGCAAATACCCAAGGTGACTACAAACTGCAAAACGAACTGGACAGTCTTCTGCTGTGAGATACTAAGTGCATCGGGACTCAGGGCAGGAGCAACTTCCGGAGTCCTAGGGTTGGGTTTACCTGGATTGAAATTAGCTGCAAGGAGGAGCATGGTTTCCTTCAAGCACAAAAGCAACAACAAGGTTTCAGAGGTAAAACTCCAAGTGACATCCACAGAGTTTTGTGGCCATTCTGCCTTACCAGCAATTTCATCTCTTAGGAGTTTCAGATTCTTCCACTGAGGATCCTTCAGAAACTTGTCCTCCAAAGCAGACAGGTTAGATTTTAAAGTAGCCAACAAGACATCGTGTTTTGTGACCTGTAGTGAACTGGAGCCTGATCCTTTTGAAGGAAAAAAAAAAAAGGAGAGATTATACACATAGAAAACAAACTGCACTTCTCCCTGTGGAATGCCCTGCCTATTCCAGTTCATCCTTGCAGGCCTGGCCCTGCTGTCACTGGCTCTGGAAAGCCTCCCCCAGGGGTACCAACCCAGCCTATGAAGAATTTAAGACCACATTTTCTGCCTTCCCACAGCACTTTGCATGTAATTGGAGTTAGTATCCTAACATTATAGTTCATCTAGTTTGCTTCTATTCCCCACATGTTTTTAGGGCAGAGACCAGGTCTGAATCATCTTACTGGGCTTAAATTGTAGCCAGAACAGAAATTTAAAAGCTGAACATTTACCGTAGAACATTCATTCAGTCCAGCTGTTCCAGGTGCTGGGGATACAGCACTGAACAGAACAAAGGCTCTGGTCAGGTGAGGTGGCTCATGCCTGTAATCCCAGCACTTTGGGAGGCAAAGGTGGGATGACTGCATGAGCCCAGGAGTTCAAGATCAGCCTGGGAAACACAGTGAGACCCCATCTCTAAAACAACTAAAAGAATCAGCTGGCTATGGTGGTGCGTGCCTGTAGTCCCAGCTACTCAGGAGGCTGAGGTGGGAGGATCATTTGAGCCCAGGAAGTCGAGGCTGCAGTGAGCTGAGACTGTGCCACCGCACTCCAGCCTGTGTGACAGAGCAGGACCCAGTCTCAAAAACAAAATATAACAACAACAACAACAAAAAAAAACAGAACAAAGCCTCTTTCCTCATGGAACTTACATTCTAGTGAGGAACATCACAAAATACAGACACAGTGCTCAAACATTAACCGCATCGTTTCCCCCCAGAATATCTATTTTCAATGGATATCTTTTTCCTATCGAGTATGTTCTCTGACTACAATGGCATTAAGACAGAAAGTATTAACAACAAAACATCCAAAGAGTCTCAAATGTTTGGAAATCAAGCAATGTACTTCTAAATAATCTATGGTCAAAAAAGAAATTACAAGATTTCCAACTGAATGCTAACAAAAAACATCAATATTTGTTGGATATAACTAAAGCAATGCTTATAGAGAAATGTATAGCTGTAAAGCTTATATCAGAAAAGTAAAAAGGACCAGGCACAGTGGCTCACACCTGTAGTCTCAGTACTTTGGGAGGCCAAGGCAGGAAGATCGCTTGAGCCCAGGAGTTTGAGATCAGCCTGGGCAACGTAGGGAGATCCCATCTCTAAAAACATTAAAAAAAAAAAAAAAACTTAGCCAGCTGTGGTGGTGCACACCTGTGGTCCCAGCTACTCAGGGGGCTGAAGTAGAAGGACTGCTTAAGCCTGGGACATAGTGGCTGCAGTGAAAGAAAAGAAAGAAAGTTTAAAGCATAACAGAGAAATTAATGAACATTATGCCAAAAACCAAACAATATACATGAAATGAAAATATTCCTTGAAAAATACAACTTATCAAAACTGTCACAAGACAGAATAAAAACCCTAAATAACCATATATGTATTAGATAAATTTGCTATCTAAAAATCTTCTGCTGGGCGTGGTGGCTCATGCCTATAATCCCAGCACTTTGGGAGGCTGAGGTGGGAGGATCACTTGAGGTCAGGAGTTGGAGACCAAGCTGGCCAACATGGTGAAACCCCATCTCTACCAAAAATACAAAAATTAATTGGGCGTGGTGGCAGGCGCCTGTAATCCCAGCTACTTGGGAGGCTGAGGCAGGAGAATTGCTTGAACCCGGGAGGCAGAGGTTGCAGTGAGCCGAGATCACACCACTGCCCTCCAGCCTGGGCGACAGAGTGAGACTGTTTCAAAAAGAAAAAAGAAAAAGTCTTCCAAGAGATAAAATTTCAGGCCTAGATGGTTTCACTGGTGAATCATTTAAGGAAGAAATAACACCAAGGTTACACAAACTCTTTCAGAAAATAAAGAAGAAGGAATGTTTTTCAATTTATTTTGAGAGGTCATTAGAACACTGATCCCAAAACCTGACCCTGATAAAATCACAAAAAAGAAAAATACTGATCAATATCCTTCATTAATCTAAACTTAAAAATCATTACTTAAAAATCTAAACTTAAAAAACAGTACACATGGCAAACAAGCATATGAAAAGATGCCCAATATCATATGTCATTAGGGAAATGCAAACTAAAACAACAGCCAGATACCATTATATACCTATTAGAATGGCCAAAATCCAGGACACTGACAACATTAAATGCTGACAAGGATGTGGAGCAACAGGAACTCTCATTCATTGCTGGTGGGAATGCAAAATAGTACAGCCACTTTGGAAGATAGTTTGACAGTTTCTTAGAAAGTTAAACATACGATCCAGCAATTGTGCTCCTGGGTATTTATCCAAATGAGCTGAAAACTTATGTCCACACAGAAAAACTGCATATGTATGTTTATAGTAACTTTATTCATAATTACCAAAAAACAGGAAGCAACCAAAATGATCTTCAAAAGGTAAAAGGATTTTTTTTAGAAAGAAAAAAAAAGAATGGATAAACTGTGCTACACTCAGACAATGGAATATTAATCAGTGATAAAAAGAAATAAGCTATCAAGCCACAAAAGACATGGAGGAGCCTTAAATGCATACTTCTAAGTGAAAGAAGCCAGTCTGAAGAGCTATATTCTGTATAATTCCAATTACATGACATTCTGGAGGAGGCAAAACTATAGAGACAGTAAAAAGATCAGGAGTAGCCAAGAGGTCAGGGATGGGGAAGGAAAGACTAGGTGAAGTGTGGTTTTTTAGGGAGGTGAAACTATCCTGTATGAGATTATAATTATGGATATATGACATTATGCATTTGTCAAAACTCATAAAATCATATAACACAAAGAATGAACCCTAGATATAAACTTTGGACTTCAGTTAATAAGAATGTATCAATATTGGTTTATCAGTTGTAACAAATGTACCACACTAATGCAAGATGTTAATAGGGGAAACTAGGTTTGGGGTAGGAAAGGGAGTATATGGGAACTCTCCGTACTTTCTGCTCAAATTTTCTATAAACCAAAAGCTGTTCTAAAAAATAGAATCTATTAATAACTTTAAAAATGCTTAAATATTAGCAAATAAAATGCAGTGATATAGAAAAGAATATAAAAGAATACTTTATTACCAAGTGTTGTTTATGCCAGGAATACATAGTTGGCTTAACACTTGACACTCAATCAGTATGATTCATCTTATTAACAGTATAAGGAGAAAACCCATGTGATCATTTCGACGAATGCAGAAAAAGCATTTGACAAAATTCAACACCTGTTCACGACACAAATTAAGAATAAAAAGGAACTTCTACAATCTGATAAAGGGTATCCATGAACAAACCTACAGTTACCATCATACTTAGTGGTGAAGTAAAATAGACACAGGATGTCTATTCTCACTTCTATTCAACATGTTACTGAAAATCTTTGTCATTGAAATAGGACAAAAGCAGCAATAAAAGACATACAAGAGCAGAAAGGAAGAAGCAAAATTGTTTCTATTCACAGATGGCATCATCGTTTATGTAAAAGCCCTAAGGACTTTATAAAACAAGTACTAGAACTAATAAATGAATTTAGAAAGTTCACAGAATACAAGCAATAAAACAAAAATTAAAAAACAAAAAAACAAGAAATTTTATATTTGCAGCAAAAATGACAAAATGAAATTTGATTTACTTTTATTTATTTATTTATTTATTTATTTACTTACTTATTCATGAGACTGAGTCTTGCTCTGTCAAGGCTGGAGTACAGTGGCACAATCTCGACTCACTGCAACCTCCACCTCCCGGGTTCAAGAGATTCTCCTGCCTCAGCCTCCTGAGTAGCAGGGATTACAGTCACCCGCAATCACACTTGGCTAATTTTTCTGTATTTTTAGTAGAGATCGGATTTCACCATGTTGGCCAGGCTGGTCTCAAACTCCTGACATCAGGTGATCCACCTGCCTTGGCCTCCCAAAGTGCTGGGATTACAGGCATGCGCCACCACTCCCGGCTGAAATTTAAAACTTTTTTTTTTTTTGAGACAGTTTCATTTTGTCTCCCAGGCTGGAGTGCAGTGGTGTGATCTTGGCTCACTGCAACCTCTGCCTCCCAGGTTCAAGCAATTCTCGTGCCTCTACCTCCCGAGTAGCTGGGACTACAGGCACATGCCACCACACATGGGTGATCTCTTGTATTTTAGTAGAGATGGGGTTTCACCATGTTGCCCAGGCTGGTCTCAAACTCCTGAGCTCAGGTGATCCACCTGTCTTGGCCTCCCAAAGTGCTGGCATTACAGGTGTGAGCCACCACGCCCGGCCTAAAACTTTAATTTACAAAAGTTAGGATAAATTTAGCACAAGATATACAAGCTCTCTACACTGAAAACTTGCTGATAAATTATTATTATTTTTTTTTTTTTGAGACGGAGTTTCACTCTTCTCGCCCAGGCTGGAGTGCAATGGCGGATCTTGGCTCACTGCTACCTCCACTTCCCAGGTTCAAGCAATTCTCCTGCCTCAGCCTCCTGGGTAGCTGGGATTACAGATGCCCACCACTATACTCGGTTAATTTTTGTATTTTTAGTAGAAACGGAGTTTCACCACGTTAGCCAAGATGGTCTCGAACTCCTGACCTCCGGTGATCCACCCGCCTTGGCCTCCCAAAGTGTTGGGATTACAGGTGTGAGCCACCATGCCCAGCCAAGAAAAAATTTTAAAGACCCAAATAAAGAAGAGATATATCCAGCTGAGAGAGGTGGCTCATGCCTGTAATCCCAGCACTTTGGGAGGCAGAGGCGGGCAGATCATGAGGTCAGGAGTTCGAGACCATCCTGGCTAACACGGTGAAACCCTGTCTCTAATGAAAATACAAAAAATTAGCCGGGCGTGGTGGTGGGCACCTGTAGTCCCAGCTACTCAGGAGGCTGAGGCAGGAGAATGGCGTGAACCCTGGAGGCGGAGGT